TTCTTTTTTTCACTTAACTTTATTGCTATCACACAGGGATTGACAAGTTCCTGTGTGATAGCATTCGGTGACAGGTTCTCTTTATGAGCCTGCCCTACAGTACACACTGTAGACTCTGGACTTAGAACGCATTGGACTCTAGACTTAGAACGCAATTGACTCTGGACAGAGGAACGCAATTGACACTTGACATAGGAACGCACTAGATTTAGGCCCGGCGCAGACCTACGTGATCCGGGAATGCACAGTCCTGCACAATGCAGGCAGCGATTGCCGTGCGACCCCATTGATTTCAATGGGGTGACATCCGCACGGCAATCGCAGAAAAAAGGTACATGTACCTTTTTGGCAATAAACAATGCGCAGCAATCATGTTTGGAAGCACAGGCGGAATCGCGGCGGGAAACCCCGCAATCTGCCCGGCGCGACTGGGGTGCCATTAGAAAATAATGGCACTCACAGCGTGATCAGTCCACTGAGGCATGTACAGGTTATCCAGGGCCAGTCACATGTATCGGTGTCAGTGAAATAAATACAGCTCTCTTCCAGCCGTCACCAATGTTTTATCAAACAGAACATCTCCGGCATCCCTTTAGACGGCCATGCCCGTCTGTGGATGTTCTTCAGACCAGCGCTCGGGAGCACGTGCCCCCCTCTGCCCCCCCTCGCTACTCCACTGCCAAGACACTCTGGGGGGGTTTGAACCCCCCTATCCCCCCCCTTATCTACACCCCTGACTTTCAGGTATCACTTCTGATTCATTTTCTCCCATTCTCCCATTTGGGGGTAGCAACTAGGGAAGCAATGCAAGCTAATGTCAGCATTAATGCTGCAGACCTAATTACATTTATTTTTAAATAGTTAAAATGTCCGATATGCCAAGTATTCTAAATACATAATAACAAATCATGCTCTTCCTAGGTAGATGCTACAGCTAACATTCTGTCATGCAAAATGCTTCACAAAATACGAGTGTGTAGTGAGCCATTCAGCTCAATGGTCCTCTCAAAGCATATTCTGCCACTTGGTGTTTACTGTATATTTGGCCTTAAAGAATATGCAAACCCAATCACTAAAATCTCTTATAAGTGTTAATATAACTTCAAATGCCATTTTCAATATTTTTAAATCTGCAGCTATCACTAAAATAATACCTATTGATGCTTCTATGAAGGTCCCTGTTTAAGCACTTCCTGCTATAAGGTGACAACGTTCTGTTTCTGCCACCCGATTGTGCACCTGCATTATCACCCTGTCATGTGGGCTTCTGAAGGAGACTACAAGTGTTTCAACACACATTGTGCAGGAATTGTCCACTGTTATCACCATCAGAAAACCCACACTGATAAATGCTATGCAGCCATCACTGCATGTAGAGTGCATGCATGTAGATAGGAAGTGGTTGCAAATAGGCTGCAGAAGGTGCACAGCACTGAGAGTCAACAATGGATGAAAACTACCTTTATATTACCTTATCTTAGTGTTAAAAAGGCTTTTAAGCACTTTTACACACTCCTTTTTAATAACTGATGACTGTTTCCAGCAGTACTGTACAATCGTGCAGTGAAGGAACCCTCTTATGTGCAATAATGAGGAGGTGCAGGTGTTGCAAGTGCTTGTAACATGTAACACATAGAGATTTTCCTAGTGGGTGAATCTTTGTGATTGTCAAAGGAGCATAACATTATCCTTTTTTCTTGGAGTTCAGCTTCACCTGACTTACATAAGAAAGCTGTAGTGAGGCCAATTCAATGGGCAGAGTCGTCAATATTTGAACATTGAGGTTCAGATTTGAAAAGGGTTAAGACAATCTGATCTGAAGACTGGCCACAAGGTAATTTGCATATAATATCTGCCAATTAAGTCCATAGAGAAGTGACATTTTCACACTGCACCCAATAATGTAAGATGAAGGAAGCAGCACAGATTATTCTAGTAAATACATGTGCTATGGAAGTTGGTAGTAAGTTTCTCAATGGATTAATGCCTTAAAGCTAGATCTGTTGACAAGCCAAGACACTAGTGCTGTCCATTTTCATTACCGGTAATGAGGGCTTGTCAGCTGTGGAGTGAGGCTGCAGGATAGCAGACACCCCCACCTCTTTACTTCTCCCTTGCTGGCAGCCAAGTTCCATTCACTCCTTTAACAAAACCATTTAAACTATTCATAATAAATCCCCACGCAGCTGCTACCCTGCATTTAATCCTCCCTGTGCTTTGTGCTATTCAGCAGGGTCGCCCCCAACGGTATCTGAAGCCCAGCCAGGCAACTGTCTGGAGGTTTTCTTGGCAATAATAACAGCATGAGTCCAACACAAAGAAGAGACAGAATAACTTATAGCAGCTGCATATTGGGGGGAGATAATTGTATTTCAATTTATTGTCAGTGATCGGTTTGGTTTGCAACTGCTGTTCACTTGGCTTCTTAGCTACCACCAGACTATGGCACTGGTGCACCACACTGTATTCTCAACTATTCATACATTCAACTTACAATTTTAACAGTGATGACAACTATGTTTTCAAATTAGATTTACATAATACTGTTAGATCTGTTATTTATACAGCCAGGCATGAGCATTGCTAAATAGCATATGTCTGTAGGCAATAGGGACCATCTTTCAACTGTTGAACAGCTTACCATTAAAGGATATCTATGGTCAAAAATTAAAATAAATATGGATTTCTATATTGAATTTCCATAAGTTCTATCCCACTGCTAATAATATCATATCTATATAGAAGTTTGTAAATTTACTTATTGAAGATGCCCAAAGGATTTCTATATTGAATTTCCATAAGTTCTATCCCACTGCTAATAATATCATATCTATATAGAAGTTTGTAAATTTACTTATTGAAGATGCCCAAAGGATATACTTCCTCAATGCATTTCCTTGGGTCACAACTCACATAGAGCCTAACTTCTGAATTACAACTCAATGTCTGAACAATGTTATCATTGTTTGCTGAAAACAATCCTTTATGGGCTATGTATCTTGAGAAATTGAGATTGAATCACATCAAGCAGCAGGGAAAGAGATACAAAGCAGGCTGGGAACTCAGGAAGTTATTGAAAATGATGGGCAGACGGAAGGCAGCACTCACTAGTACATAAGAGGGATTTTTTGTAAGTAAGCTTTGATTGCATTATCAAGAACAACTATAGTAAAGTATGCATATCTATTACAATGCTGATGTTATAACAGGATAGTATATGCATTGACTTTGAAGCGCCTTTAAGAAATCAGTATCTCATGTGTAAGCCCAATGTAACACGGTGTCATTTGTGAAACCAAACCACTGGGGTCAGTTAATATTTTCCATTTAGTTTAATGCCTTAACAGGCCTGAATAATTTCTGTTGTCATTTCACGGTCCATCCACATTACTTTCACAGGAGGAGCTGATATAGTGGCAGCTGCAAGCTAAGACCATTGATAACCTCTTGTCACAATTTTGGGTGGCTGCAATCTGGCTGTTTTGTACAGGCCCTTCTGAATGACAATGGGAGCCTGAATATATCTTCCAAATTCATCAGTGGCCAATCCACATAACCCTTAAGAAGTACAAATGATTTTCCTTAATAGCTGCACAGTTACCACAAACACAGCCCTAAATTTCTACTAAAGTAAATACCTGAAAGTGGACTGATCTACATTTTGAACAGTTTTATGATTGTTTTCCATTGTCTTATGGTTTGAATTATGACATACTGTTAAAAATCCCTTTCTAATTTAAATGTTCAATAAATAAGAATTCACTGTTTTATTATGCTAATCCATATTCGCACCAAAAACATGATATAAAAAATGAATGCAAACAATAATGGGCTGAAAGTTGATAAAATATATAAAAGTGTTACATCCTTCAAAAAAAATAATCCACAGTTTTAACCTATTAACTGTTACAGAATCTCTGCGTTCATATAGGGATTGTCACCCAGTGTTCAAAGTATTATTATTTGTTATACTGTTTAGTGTATCCTAAAAAAACTTTCTTACTAGCTATTGTTTATAACAATATATACAGTATACCAGGGTTGGACAAACTAATTCAAGAGCCAGTATAGAAAACCTAGGGGGACATATGGCACTTTTGAGAATCTGGAGAACATTTCCTTTTATTGATAAGAGAAAACTGAGGTGCCAGCATGATATTTATGATTTACACAAAATAAAATTGTGAGCATTTGCAATTCAGTGGAAACTGGGGAAGCATAAAAGCAGCCAACATATTAGGACATACTGTGCAAACTGTGCGGCATAGGATTTATAACAACCCAATGAACATGAGTTAACGTCATATGCCCAAACCAATAAGAGTGAGTATGGCCTTTAATTACAATGTATCCTTAAATTGACTCTATCAGGAGGTAGAAAACATGAGTGGATTGCAAATAGCGCGTTTGTCGCGCGATTGTCATTTTGCGCGATATCACGCGGTTTTCCGACATCGACGAGCACACCCCCATTGACTTGCACTGGAGAGTGATATCACGCGGATATAATGCGCAATATCGTGCTGAAATCCGCATGATAAATCGTTCAGTGTGAATGGGGCCTAAAACAGAAGTTTTATACTTACCTCTCCAGCAGGGGATATGGTTTAGCTTCACTCTCTTGAAAAGCTCTGGGTGCTAGTATTGAACACTGAACTCAGGAGACTGAGGATGTACTGTGAGTGCAGGGCATCAAGGACCACCACGGTGACCTGCACTCACAGCACTATAATGCAGCATCATCACATCAGCTCTGCTCTCTGCATCACTGAGGACCACACACCACCAGGAGAAGATCCGAAGAGGACCCTGTGCATCATGAGACCAACTTGTAGACTTCAGAAAAATGTAAATATAAAAAATAAAGTTCCCCCATTACTGTGTGTATATGGATAGAATAGAATAGACTCGGTGATGGACATCTTGGATATAGGCAGGTATGCTGCCCCAATTGTTGAATAACATATTTATATAGGCATCCACTTGTTGGCTCTCCTTACCTCTTTTGTCCTTTCTAGCTCGTTATGCAATGCCTGCTTGGTCACCTCCATTGCAATGATTTGCTGACGCAATATTTGATTCTCATCTTCCACTTTGATTCGCTTCTCTTCCACATTCTCCAGTTCATGGTGCAATCTCACAGATACATCTTTGGCTACCTGTCAACACACATAAACATAAATAGGACTATTTTAATAACACACAACAAAATTCAACTGTATTTTTTGAATGAGAAACATATATTAGTTTAACCTACTTCCCTGGCAAATCCTTCATCTGCTTTTCTCACCAGGATACTGCCAACTTTGTTCCGGCATCACCCAGTGTCAGGAACTACTTCTTGGGTTGAAATGCCAGCCCGAATACTTAGGAATACTTAGTGAAAGTCACACTCACTACTTTATAATCAGAGCCCTATACCCTTTATTAGGGCAGCGCAGTGGCTTAATTCCTTGCAACAATGTCTTGCAACAATGGGGTCCTTAGTTTGGATCTTGGCCAGGATGCTAAACTTGGCAAGGGGGCTTGTGGCTTGCATGGGTTTCCTCCCATACTCCAAAGACATGCTGATAGTTTAACTGGCTCCTATCTAAATTGGCCCTAGTATGTGTGTGTGCAAACTGGCTATGCACATGTGCTATCACATTCTGCATGCTGGTGCAAAGCCTGTGCAAATGGGTAGGAATTAAGGAAAGACCTGGTGACCTATCTGGTAAAAAAGCTGACCAAGAAAACTCCAAGAAAAGGCTCACAGGTGTATCAGACATGGTGCCCAGAGAGCTTGCCCACAGAATATCCAAGAGTCAGATGAACTCTTAAATGGATATCCCACACACATAACCTTTATAGCAGAGGTCTTGATGTACCTTCCCGTGGGCCAATTGTGGCCTGCGAACCGGTACTATGTGGCCCGCAGCCAGCTGACAACGTAGGTACCTGGCCACAGACCGCTTACCTGACTTGCATTAACAGCTACACGGTCTGCATCTCTGTCAGATGCAGACCGAATAGCTGTTGTTGGTTGTCCGCTCTGTTCCTTTTGGTCTGGAGATCTGAGCTCCGGTCACAAGGATGGATTAGAAAGGTCTGCACCAGATCTTACTAATCACCACTGGATCACCAGGGAATAATGTGGTTCTTCGCCTTCTCCTCTTAGCCCCCTTCACCTGCAAAAACGTAAGCAGGTGAGGGGGCTATTTATTCTATTTTTGTGTGTGTGTGGTGGGAGGGGGTATATTATTTTGTGTGTGGGGGGGTGGGGAACA